ACGATCCTGTACTGATCAAACCTGCCTCAGCTTCCAGTAACAGCTGTCACAGCCTTTAAGTGGTAAAGCACATTAATGAGTTTTCATATGCTCAGAATGCCAACCATCTTCAAAAAGCTGTAAATCAAAGCCAACAGCTGACAGCAACCACAAGCAATTTCTTCAACAATGCTTTGATATGTTTCCGTTTTATCTGTTTCATAAAGTTTTATGTTCTTGTGCTGCAGCTTTCATTGATTCCATGACTATACCCGTGCCATCATTCAACATCTTTGTGATTCCTTCTACAATAGATGGCCTACAGGAGTTGGTGCTTTTGTTTAGATGTTTGTAATGAATCGGGTCTTGTATTGATGTGTACCTATTGGAGGAATGGCCTCAGATGGCTGTAAGACCGGCTTGTAGATCTGAGCCTCAGAGGACGGTTCAGGCTCAGAGGCAGGCTGGATGGAGCTGCCATTTTTCTGGAGGTGGACACCTGGTAGAGGAAGAGACGTATCAATCTTAACATGTGTTTCATCTGATTCGTTATTGTTATATTACTGTAGTCATAAACAGAGTTGTACCAACAGGGTGGATTTAGCAAGAAAACAGCACAAATTGCTTTATTGCACAAAACTGGAAGATGGTTCTGTTCTATGGCCAGATCGACTTGTTAGGGTGGCCCTGGGAGAAAAGTATTGTGGGAGGACTATACTGACCCCTGCCACATTTCACAGAGTTTTGTCACCTGTGTGTGTCAACTACCATATTGTAATTAGATTAACTTTAACTTTAATTAGGAATATTCACCATTAGAGCACAATATAGAGCGTATTTTGACACAGGAGTTCTCTAGAAGACAGAGCCACAAGACTTTGGGGTTACACATTTTTATAAAAGTAATCAAATTATGTACAACTACTTGAAACCCAGCAAACCTGGTGCTTATAGGTCCCCTGGAGGATTTGGGCCACGGGTTAGTTTCCCACTTTGTTAATCCAGCCAAAGCTTTAACACAATCTTGGTGAATGGTAAAAGTGCAAAACCAATGGAAAAAAATCACATCTGACAGTTTTGTTCTGAGCTTTATCCACTTCACAACAAGACTGAGCAACAACTAATAATACATTTTTAAGATATAATAATAATATTAATACATTTTAATTTTTAATATAGCACAATACAAAGTGTTTTGACAGACAAAGCAAAAACAGGATACCCAGAAGAAAATATATTTATACATATATAGTTGTATAGTCTTGACCTCTACAGTTTACTGTAATCACACCAAGGTATCACACTTACAGTAATTTAATAAGAAAGCTCAAAAGCTATTACTGAGTTTTGTTAAATGTTTTCCATTTTTTGACACAATGTCCTTCTCTTTAACAACATCAATTTGCAAGATCTGAAAATGAATGAGTGGATGTAGAGGAGGAAATGGAAACTATACTACAAGAAAAATGGTCATAGTCATAGTATCTGTTTGCTTAAACCACAGAGTGAGAGAGACAGAAAGCGTAGGACCACTAAAGACCACTGAACCAGCAATTGCTGTGTGAGAAAGGAAACATTTATGACCTAGAACAAACAGCACTCAAACCATACAGGCGGAAGGAAAGGAAAACACAGAAGTTAAAACAGCATTATGAAGACCACCTTTTCAAACTATTAAAGATAAAGAAATTCGTCACAGCTTCGCTCCCAACATGACGGATTTCCTTGCACGGGTGCTTATAATGTAGAATGTACGTGATGAAACATTATTCGGTGCATTATGTAACATCATTTGTAAGCCTGTGACATAGAAATTCACATTTTTCATAATTTCGTTTTAATTCATGTTTCTGAACAGAAGACAAATTTGAAAAGCTGCATCAGCCACAGCAGTTTGTTTCCCTTTTCAGACAAAAACGCTGGTTGGTAGAGGTGTGGAAACCCTCACCATTCCTCTGTAAAAAAAAATATATGCTCCCATAAATACAAAATGTTTTGAGTTACAAAGAAAGGACAAAGAAAAGTCTACCAACAGAGACCGACAGAGACCATTTTCTGAAGGTGAAAGGATATTTGAATATTATCAAACTTACCAGGAATAATAGCAGCCAGGAAGAAAAGAGACCATCCACCTTTGTGAGCCCTTAGGACCATAGTTAGTAAAGAAAAGAAAAGAAGAGAGTAGAATACTGCGACAGAAACAGATGGTGAGAGCAGTATGAGTGTCAGAGCTGTGGTTTTAAAGTAAATGTGAAACTGCTGAACATTTCGACACCTAAATA